AAACACAGGTGAAAACATAACCTCTTTGGCGGAGGTAAAATACAGAGCAAATAAATTAGAAACTCTAAACAATCTGCATGGTTACATCGGGCCATAGATAGGATTTTATAAAAATACTGAGGTCCCCACCATCACCCTCCAAATACCAAAGAGAGATTTTCTCATATAGCCTACTACTTTTTGACGCACCTGTTTAGTTGTTTTTAATTAATTAAAGTTGTTCTTTTATCAAAAGCCCTCTAGTATTTAATTACTAACCAAATTACATAGTTCTTTTAAGCTGAAATTTTAGAAGAAAGTTATTGACATCTCCACACTGCCAGTGATAAAATTCTAGTGGAGACATACTGAACCCTTTATTTATTAGTTATTTTAAGGTTTTTAACTGGAGAATGTAAACTCCACAATGTGCTAGTCAGGATCGGTTCTCAGTGTCCTCAATAGTAGCTACGACCCTGACAAAATAAGGGTAATTGAGAATTGTTTTTGGGTTAACCAACCCTACAGAAGTACATGAGAAATCTGTAATTAAATCACCCATGACCTAAACATGTTGAGATTGCTGTGCGTGTCTTGGCTGGCCAGCTACATGGAGAACGTATGAGAGTTTGGTGGTCGGCAGGTCAGCTGTGAGCGCTCTGCAGCAGTCTGAGAGCTGCTGCCCTGGGTGGAGTGAGAGTTCACCTATGTACAGTGGCACACACGCTTTTTCATTTTCACTACAGGCGAGAGCAGCTCTGTAGAAACCAATGAAGACCATGAGAGGACTCATCCTCTTGTGCGCGTGACAATAACTCAGACATCCATTAATCTAAGAGGTGTATTTCAGGAGCACTTCTGCATTAATTTCAAGCTACTGAAAGCATGTGGCCCATGTCTAAAGCACCTATTTATAGATAAATAGTTTGGCATCAGTAGCCTGAGTATTCATTTATGCCATTTCAACTCATTTAGCCCTCATGTTCTTTTTGCAAGTTAATGAATATACAGTGTAATGGTCTGTTAACCCAACACTGATGAGGTAATGCTGATGGTAATGAGATGCACAAAGTAAATTGAAGTGTTTACAAATAGACAAGCACATGAATCCACATGTATTTACACCCTATACTCCCCTCAGCTGACCATTAATTTCATTGACCACGCTTGTTTTTGTTCATTTGTTACTTTTCAACCGTGGAAAATTACGTAGTTATCAATTAATGCTTTGATAGTTTTCCAACCAGTAATGTGTCACTGAAATGTTATGTGAATTGGCTTTTATGTTCTCAGCCATGTGCTGTGATCAAAGGAACTCTCCTCCTATATTTGACAAAGGCAACATGTTTTTAGCTCGCTTTCTCAAGAGAGATTTGCAGTTTGCAGTTTTTGTATCTAACTAGCTGTATTTTGTCTATAACGAATTGCAATATTTTTTCAGAGACTAAAAAACGTACAGTATGTTATGGTACATACTATGTAAAAATTACAGAGAAACTGTGGAGCATATGAAAATCCATTTTATTTAACTATGTTTTACAGGTTTATAAGCAGGAAAAATCATTCAGTATTAAGCCGATAAAACAATGTTGAATATATTTATGTTTTTAAAGAGGAGCCTTGGGTCTCCTTAAATACTATATAGTTTGCGTTTAAACTTTTACAGCCTTGCCTCCATTCCACATTCTTCTCATTCAGACATTAATTTCTGTCTCCATCAGTAATTTACTGCAGTGTCACCCTGCACAGTTCCTCTGTTATTGATGCACTGTCGTCTCTGATTCATTTTATTACTGTGGCAGGTGTCAGCCGTTACTATGAGGGCTGCCACAGTTGGACGCATACAGACAAAACAGAAGCACACTCATACACACACACATGTGCTTGGCTGATATTGGCCATAGCCAACACAAAGTAATCTGGCAGTGTGATTGTATGGCTGGCAGTGTATTTTGTTCAGCTCAGTCAACATGTTGAATTTAATTTCCTTTCTCTGTCCTTCAGCTGGTACAGTTTTTTTTCATCCCAGGGCAATATTTCCTTTTGTGTGCCTTCACTGTTTTCACACGCGCTTTCCTCTCCATCTACATACAGTATGTAGTATATAATGTCTGCCTCTCTGCGTGTTTGCTGGTGTTGCTTCGTTTTTGTCTGTGTGTCTGTATGAATTCAGTCTGTCTCCTCATCTGCCTCTCTGTCTTGATCTGCTTGTCTGTCTGTTACTTTCTCCTTCTCTCTCTCTCCACCCGCCAGACACACCCCATCCACCACCAAAGCACGCACACACGCACAGGCACACACACCTCTTTTTCCCGGGTTTCCTTAAATCTCCCCACTGCTGAGAAAGTGAATGACAGTAGTATATGCACAGGCTGCGAACGACTGACGGGGATTTTAACTGGATACGTCACAACTGGAGGGGAAGGGAGAGAGGGAGGGACGGAGGACAGGAGAGGAGGAGAGAAAACGATGAACAGAGACAGAGAGAGAAAGAGAGAGGGAGAGAGAGAGTACAGAGGGATATATTGACTCAGAGCTGGTGTACATGCTCCTCAGTGTGTGAGAGACAGAGGACGTGAGAGCAGGCAAGATGGAGTGCTGGCACAGATGAAGACTGTCCCTGGGTATGTATTTGTGGATGGCTATATTTGTGTGTGTGTGTGTGCGTGCGTGCGTACGTGCGTGCGTGTGTTCGAACTTGCATGTGCGTGTCTCTGTATGTGAGAAGGGAGAGAACGAATGAGTTTTTTAAGCATCATACTGCAAGTGATCATTTGTATGTGGGTACACAAGCAGTGAATTTGGGTGTCGTTACATAAGATCAATATGAATGACTGAATGAGTCTGGGCATTGAAGACGGGAAAAGGCAGTTTTGTCTTTATCTGTGAGTGGGATTTTAACGCACGTGTGTATGTGAGAGAGAGAGTGTTTAAGTACTGTCACTTCACATGGTGAGGGAGCAGGGATGTGTTTTAGGAAATGCAAGTTTCCAACTGAGTTAAGTCTTGATCTGTTTGGATATGGATGGTATATTGGCTTAGTTGTTAGCATATGAAAGATTACCTCAGTGTATAAACGTGTGTGAGCGTATGTAAGGAAGAGAGAGTCAATATTTTATGATGCACTAAAGGTGAGTTATAGCAATATGGAAGTAAACAATGAAACACTAAATCTTACTGGTATTTTTGTTGTGTTTTTGTCATTACCTACACTGAAGAATCACATTAGTACCAGTTTTAAGCAGTTGCTAATTTTTGCATGGCTTCTACATACAACGAAGACACTTTCAATTTAAAGGCAGACTCTACTCTATTGGCAACACGCACACTGCTATAGATGACAACATAGAAGAGCATTCAAAAACATCTTATTACACAACTTAAACACAACTTTACCCAAAAAGACTGATTTGCAAAGGCAACCATACTAGCCTTGATGTCAATTAGTCAATTGACAGAGAATTATTAGCATTTTGTCAAAATTGATGCAAACAAATTTTCTATTTCCAGCTTCCCAAATTTAGGGAATGATGATTTTCTCTACTTAATTTCACTGTAAATCAATATCTGTGGATTTTAAACGATGGTGGGTCGGTCAGCCAAAACAAGCAATTTGAAGCTGGGGCTCTTGGGAAGTTGTGCCACATATTTTCCATAATTTTCTGACATTTTATAAAATTAACAAACAATCAAAACACTGAAAAAATAATAAATAGATTAACCATTGATTGAATTAATAATTGTTAGTTTTATCCCTGGAGTCAACACTTTTACAAAGCAACACAAGACAAATAACAGGGCCTCAAATGTGCTAATAATTTGCATCCACATAACAGCTGCATGAGGCGAAAACTAAAAGAGAAAAATGATTTAATTTGGGAGGAAAATAGTCTTGAGAATCATGATGACATTTGCTAAACACAGACAAACTGCACAGACATGAAGGAGCAGAGGCTGCAAGATGACATTAAGCAGCAGCAACATGATGGACATATGCAATATATAGGGGGATGACAAGTGACATGCATCCTCAGCTGTAGCAGTGTCTGCAATGGTGATTGTCACATTGTGAAAGTACTTGTTCATAAAAATTGATTTGTTATTTTGTCTACCCCCTTATTTTTTCATCTAATTCTCACACAAATTGAGTATCATTTAGATTAAGTGATTGCTTTAGAAGTTTAATCTGGGCCAGCACCAGTAAACAAAGGGACCATTGTCACGTCCCAGTTTGAAGTTAGTCTCTGTGATCATTAGAATCAAATCAGTTCTTGAAATAATAAAGACACAGCAGCACTGAGGGAGTGCATTAGAGAAAACGTGTCTTCAGAATCTCTTAATCACTGTGAGGAACATAGGAAATGATCGCATTTGGCTCAACTAGGCTTGAGTTTGGGAATTTGGTTTTTGGTTATTACGCTTCGTGTAGTGACAAATATGCTAAGGACTGAGAAGAGCTTCAAATAGTATTATGTAAATATTGCTCAGGGGACTAGTTGATGAGAGAGAGAGAAGTGAAGGAGAGAGATAAGGGAAGGATTAGAGTTAAGTGCAGATACACAAGTGACATCACTTGTCCATACTTTACAGCACTACATTTGAATATTCATTCAGAGCACAGACTTGGTGTGCTGACACACTGTGTGAGTCACACCTGAAGTGCCAAAGAGTCTGGAAAATTCTATTTTGGCTTTTGAGAAGTCAGGATTGCATCAACGGATGAAAACGGAAACGTATTTTCGCCTTTCTCCAGGATGTTTCAGATGTGTTGTGAATTTCAACACATTGCCAGTGTTGACTTGCCTTGAATAGAATTGACCCCCCGGCTCACAGAAAGTGGAAAGTTGGAAACTCTGAGGAGGTGGAAGGATGTGTCTGTATTGTTTAGTTTTTCTCTTTTAGTTTTGAGCCTGTGCAATGATCCCATCTGTTAATCTCTGTCTATCTCACCTCCTTCGTTTCTCTCTCTCTCTCTCTCTCTCTCTCTCTCTCCGCCTCACCAGTCCCGTTCGACAGTCCACATGAGCGTCTCCAAACCCCCACCACCCCCCTCTACCTCTCACCTGGCCATTCCCCCTTCCTCCACCTCCACCCCTTCCTCATCCGCCTCCTCCCCCTTGGCAACGCCCCACTCCACCGCTCTGCCCCCTCCCTCGCCCGTCAAGATCTCTATGCAGGAGCACTTCGCCATCAACGTGTGCCCGGGCCCCATCCTCCCCATCCCACAGATCTCAGACTTTTTCCCCCGTTTCCACGACTACCCCTGCACGCCGCCACCTCCGAGGGAGAAGAAGATCCTGAAAGAGGAGACTTTCAACGGGGAGACGGGTGGGGTATACAAGGACGGGGAGAGGAGGGGGGACAACGATGGAGACAGGGAGGAGGTGTTTGACTCTGATGATGATGACAGTGAGTTCTGTGTGGGGTGAACAAAGTTTTGTGATGGTAAAGTTGTTTAGTATTGTGTATTTGGTTTGTGTGTTTATGTTTATTCATGTGAAAACTAAAGCAATGCAGCAGAAAAACTCAAACTGAGTTTTTGCATTTTGCCTCAGATTCACAACATATGCTTGCAAAGTAATTGTGGAGTCAAGCATTTTTCCAAAAGTGTTTGTCGGCCCCACTTTATGTGACACGGCGCCTCTGATGATTTATTAGACAACAGTGCAATAGTGGGACACAGCCTGGAAGTTTCTGCTCTCGACCAAACAGTAATCAAACAAGACAGATCAATTCATATTAGGCAGCGTCATGTTTTTAAGAGGCCATCTGCTACAAATATGACTCAGAGCTTTTGAGTGTGTATGTGTCACTGAGTGTGTCTGCCCCTTTACTGGCAGTAATTGCCATGGTTTGTGATGTTTTCAGCCTACCTGGGAACGTTGGAGTTCAGCCTGCTCTTTGATCAGGAGAACAACTGTCTTCATTGTACTATTCACAAGGCAAAGGTACACAATTTCAATATCTTCTTCATATAAACAGACCGTGTGTGTGTGTGTGTGTGTGTGTGTGTGTGTGTGTGTGTGTGTGTGTGTGTGTGTGTGTGTGTGTGTGTGGTTGCATAATCCCCCTTGACGTCCCAATGAAAACAATTCTCCTGTAATGCTTTTATGTTTGCACAAGACGTCAGACTGCTTTCTCTCTCCTTTTTAAAGTAACGTGTTCGCCACACACCCTCCGCAGCTTGTCAATTCAAAGCAAAATCATCTCATGGCACTTTGAAATGGTGGATAATGTTGCCCCATTGCTGTGGCAGGCAAATTTGGTACGGCCATCAAACAAAGACACAAACATTGTATTACATATTGCGTACTGTTATGTGGTGTTAATTATGTAAATCTAGTGGCTCCCTTTAAGACAACATAAAGGAGTTGAGGAGGATAGAAAATAATGGCATGGAAAGAAACACCCGGAAGCGCTGTTGAGATGTAACTACAGTAGAGGAGGGCTGTCATATTCACTGTCTTTTTCAGACCCCAGTCAGTTGTGTGAAGTGTTTGAGGGCATGATGACGTCACCTTTGACACTATAGTATGTATGTGTGTTTGTGTGTGTGTGTTTGTGTGTGTGTTTGTGTGTGTGTTTGTGTGTGTGTGTGTGTGTTTGTGTGTGCACGATTGTGTCCACAGGGACTGAAAGCCATGGACTCCAATGGACTGGCTGATCCATACGTCAAGCTTCATCTTCTCCCCGGGGCTAGCAAGGTCACTGCTCCAACCTTACCTCAGCGGCAATTAACGTAACATGCTACCACACTGGGCTGTCCCAGACATTGACACTCCCTCATGAAGTCCCACATCACACAGAAACTGCTGGTAAAAGAAGATAATTCATTGAAAATACTAAAAAATGAAAAACATATCGTATATTATTCAAATACAAAAACAAAAACGGTGATTTACTTTTTGTAAACAATCGTCTCCCTTGTCGATTCTTGTTGATTAGACACCGTGAAAAGGTCAAAATGCGCTCGCAGAAAATGTAACATGGCAGCGGACTAATTTAGTGTGTCGTTTCAATCCGTTGAGCAGGGAGCATTTCGGTTGGTTACTACTTAATGTGGCTCGTCCAATGCTCTGCTTTATCGAGCACAAACACGTTCTGGTCTGCTGCACTGCTCTTGTCTTGTTTTCAGCTCAAGCAGCAGAGAAGATAAGGCTCACCACAACAGCAGCCCCCCCAGCTCCGGCAGAATGCAACCTGTTGTCGGCCATTTTGGCTCAAGGTTGACACAAAATGAGGTTATGATAAGCGTCAAGCCAAGATAGGTTGAATGAGGCTACTGTCTGAGGTCTAAGGTGCTAACAATAACAACGTCTGGGGGATTTTTGTCCTCCAGCCTTCCTCTGTTTGTCTTCTCTCCCATTGTTATCGCTCTCCTTTCCCCACTTCCCACCCCTATCTCCGTCTCTATCTCACTATCTGGCTGTGACCCTCTTTGACCTTGAAATACCAACAGAGTGTGGAAAGAAGGGAGACAACTGAGAGGGAGGAAAGTGGGAGGGGGGGGGTGGTGGAGAAAGGGAGGGAGGGAGAGACAGATGAGGGGAGGACAGCAGCAGGTGGTTGTCATGGAAACAGGGAGGATTGTTACACGGCTCACGTCAACAGGCGAGTGTTGATGGGGGGAGAGGGGTGGTGGTGGTGTTGGTTGTGATGGTGGGGGCGGGGGGGACTCGGAGAAAGCGTCAACGAGTAAGTAAGTAACCACAAACCTCCGTTTGTTAAATACCCACCAGACGGGGGGTGGGGGGTTGGGGGTGGGGTGAAGTGAGGTGGGCACGACACTTGAAAAGTGGAAGCCTGCACACGAAGAAGTGAGGATGACAGATCCACACTCACAGACCTACTCATGTCCACATTCAGACTCAGCGTGCAACCGTTACAATGAATAATCCCGAACACAAAAGGTTTCAGTTTCTGTGGAGAACTGAGTTGTCAAAATACTGAGAGCAGACGCACACGTCCCCTCAGTCCCCACGCATTGTCCTCCTTTCTCACTCTGACGTCCTCCACCACACACTCTTTAACCAGTGTACAGTCAAGCAGGCTGTCTTGTGGTGTCAAACACATGCTGCAACACATGCGGCGCATGACCTTGCGTATATGCAGACACATGCTAAGGCTTTAGTCACAGTCACACAGAGATGCTCCCTTCATCCCTCGCTCTCTCTCTAGCACTGCTTCTCTCTTTCTCACACACAAACATGCGCAAACACGGTAGTTCTTGGTGCCCGTGGTGGTTACTGGTATATTATCTGCCCATTTCTAATCGAGGTGCAGGGGAAATTCACTCACAGCCAGACTGTGTTCACTCTTGGCTTTGAGAAGTAGGGAGAGAGAGAGAGAGAGAGAGAGAGAAAGAGAGAGAGAGAGAGAGAGAGAGAGAGAGCATGAAATAAGTAAAAAGATCCATGCAGACAAATGGAGAGAAAGGAGGGAGAATGTGATGGACAGATGGAGGGTTAGAGATAAAACATTTAGAAACAGATGCAAAAGCACTGGTGTAAGGGGAAAATGGAGGCAGGGAGGGACAGAGGGCAGGAAGAGCTGGTGTTTTAAATGTTTGTAGATGGAGTGTTTGGTAAGATGTGCTCAGAAAACCAACCCAATTCAGTCAATAAGGAGTGATGGTTATTTGTGAAATATTTGTTCTGTTGAGTTGTGCTGGCACACATACAGCTGTGCAACATCACAGCGAGTCGTGACTCTGCCTGTGCAAGGCTCCTCCTGCACATTAATGAATCAAACAAATGACATGAATCGAAAACACTTGTTCCCTTCGTGGAGCGGGCTCTGGAGGGCTGACTCTCATAGATAAGCCCAAAGTTTCCAGCAGAAAATAGAGAATTAAAAGGGGGGGCAGTGATGGGGGGGCAGAACAATGGGATGTGGGGGACACAAACAGACCAAGAGAGCGAAGATAGAAGAGAGGGTTCAGCATCTGGCCCTGAGGCATTGTAGCAAGAGGCTGACTGTGGCAGAAAGGAAACAAGAGAGACTGAGGGAGATGAAGTTTATTTTTTTATCTGTGAAGCTTCAGACATAGGCAGGAATATGTTGGAGAATAGGCTACTCATTTTCTCTACCAGGTGGATATTCAGATTATATACTATATAATTTTGCATGACCACTAGTGGTGGAAGACCCTGTACTTAAATAAAAGCAGCAACACCACTAAAGTAATGTTGAATAATTGTCACCATTTTAACATCGTAATATTTGTGCCCACTTTGCATATTGTTGGATAGTTTAAAAAATAATGGCGATATTCCATATTTATCTCATTGTCAACAATTCGCATGAAACGACCAAAACCAACAATGTGTGAGTCTGGCTCTCAGTGCTTTCAGTCTCCCTCAGCTTGTCTGCGGGTCCCAGCCCTGAGCCAATTTGTTCCTCCTGAGGTCACAAATACAGTATAGTTTCCTAAAATAAAAAAAAAACTCAGTAATTCCCTAAAACAACTGGACATTTGTTGGGGCAACCAGTTTTCACCCCCAAGTCGTCACATATGGACGCTTGGTCAGTACGCCTTGGTCGCTTTTAGTGTCTTTTTTCAACATGCAGGGTAGTCCAATAGACTACCAGTATTCTCTACTGTGTTGAAAGTTTACACGAGTCAAGGAGACCGCAGCCTGTTCTGTTGACGTATATGGGGTGAGACCACATATGGTTCTGTAGCCACAGTCAACTTTTTCTTTATTAAACACTGTATAGCACTATCTTTCCCTACCTTTAACCAAATCGCTTTTTTTGCCTGAACAAATTAATTTGGATGCAAACCCTGTCTGGTGTGACAGTCGTCACTCCAATCTCCTCCTGGCAACTCCACTGCTGTTGATAAATGTAGCGGTTCATTCAGTCAAAAAATATGCTGCCTCCACACAATGAAAAATGATGCTAAAAGGTGTGTGTTCAAAAGTCACACCAAGGGGTCCCTGACCAAGTGTACATATGTGATGAGATGGGAGTGAGAATGCGTTGGTTGGGGACTATTTTTAGATATGGATTAATACAATTTTGGTGCTCTAGTGAATATTTTTGGCTCCAGGACAGTGTACTGTATATGTGGTTGACTCAAAATGAACTACAGTGCCCATGTTCATCATCAAGAAGGATCATGTCAGCCAGTGCAGTGGTGAAACTGTGAAGCTCTCTGCTGAGGTGTTTTTAATAGATTTCCCGACAACAATGGAGCTCTATGGCACACAGGAAAAAGCTATATCAAGCTTCAGGCTACAGACATTTATTTCGCTCTGAAATGTAGTAAAGGGTAGAGGTAAAAAATAAAGTGGCATGCATTTAAAACTGTCAAGTAAATTAGCCACTCCTGCAGCTAAGAACAGCCAATTAGTTCTGCTTTTGGTTCCACAAGGTCTTAGTAACCCATATTTTATGACAACAGTGTGTCTTTGTGACGCTTGGTCATTTGAGCCAGAGGTTTGAATTTGCAGGATTTGTGTGCAGGTATTTACCTTGGGAGTCTGTAAAAAATGCATTTTATTGGTATGCAAACCCCATTTCTTGAAGAGTTTATTCAACAGTAAAATAAATACAAAAGAAAATCTGAAATAAAACCTATAACAAGATGAACACATCCTGAAGGCAACTGTGGGAAATGAGGCAGCAAGTGGCTGCAAACTTTATTTATGGATGGTGAAGCTGTTAGGGGCTCATGGGCATTTCCTCTCCTGGAAAGCTTTAATTTTTCATGCTGATTGTGTTGTGCAGTTTAATTGGCTGCTGGGTTGTGTTGTGTTTGAGGCAGAGTGCTTGTTTTGGAGGTCTGGCCAGTGCTAATGCACTGCCTTATCATGTTGGGGAGGAGACAGACGGACAGGTGAGGTGAGGGAAGCCTCGCGTCCTCTCACTCTCCTCTACAAAGTAGGCAGCAGATGTCTGCGATTTCCTTAGGGGCAGAGATAAATGATGTCCTCTGCTCTTTCACTCTCTCTCTCCTTTCATGATGTTTTAGTGTCCCCCCTGTTTTGCTTCCATTTCCATGATCTTTTATTCTTTCAGTTTGATCTGACGAGTTTGCTCCCTCAACCTTTAAACATTCTTCACTCTTTCTTTTCTCTTTTTGATCCTTCCCTCTCCATTAATTTCTTTTCATCCGTCTTCTTCATTTCCTCCTCAGGCAAACAAGCTACGCACAAAAACCCTGAAGAATACGCTGAACCCAGTGTGGAACGAAACGCTGGTGTACCACGGCATCACAGCAGCTGACATGACCACCAAAACACTCAGGTAGGTGCTCAGCTCTGAGTTACTCTCTGGCCAGCAATTAGCACTATTCCCCAGACAGCCAAGTGACCAGTTTATTATGTGGAGGATGAAGATTCATGCTACCAATCCTCCAGTGGACTGCCAGCAGCCGTCTGTTCTTCCCAGTTGGCTTTTCCAGGTAATTCATTATTGCAGCCAGGCGATGCCAGCCAACTGTTCCACTTGCTGTTGCTGCGGTAACTGTTCAGGTGTTGGCTGTGCGGCGAGTCTCTGTTCCCCACAGTGCTCCCCATATGGAGCGATTGAGGTCAAGCGTCGCCATCTTGGCCCAAAAAGGCTGACGCACTTGTGTCATGTGCATGTGTAAGTTGATTCAGAGACGGAGTTTCGTTTGTGTTTTGTTTGTGAACGTGCGCGCTGCGTGCAATCATTGTCAGTTTGCTCAGCGGATGCATAATAGGGTTGGATGGCATTGTTTATCCTGAGGAAACAAGAGCACAAATGCACACGCACACACACGCACACATACACATGATTCCTGTCTGCGCGGTACACACAAGTACAAGCAGTCAGGTGTGTGTTTATCCTCTTGTGTGTATGTCAAGGGCAATCACTGGCAGGAAAGAACATGCATGACCCCTCCTCCTGTACCTAGAGAAAATACACACTCACACAAACACACACACACACACACGCATATACAGTAACACATGTCCTTGAGCTTTTACAAATGCACACATTCAGAAATAGCATTTACTCTCCCTCCTCAAACACACACACACAAACACACACAGTTACACACAAACAACAGCTTGAGGAGAGACCCCTCAAACTAGAGGAAACCACCTGACCTCTGTTCAAGGACATAGCTCACAGACACAAACCAGCAGGGGGGCTATGGGCAGCCAAAACGAGGGAGAAGAGGAGGAGGAAGAGGAGTGTGACCACTGTCAAGCAAGAGATGAAGTGAGAGAGAGAGAGAGAGAGAGAGAGAGAGAGGTGACTGCCAAGATCAACAAAGAGAGCAGGAGGAAAAGCATGAATGATGTCAAGTGACAGATGGGGGGGGGGGGCTAAGGGGGCCAAGAACAAGGAAGATGACACAATAGAGTGATGGAGAGAATCCAAGGGTCAGTTGAAGGGGGGGGGGGGTTGTACAGAGGGGAAAAGAGAGAGTAGTGAGATGGATAACATGATGAATGAGGAAGTTCACTTAGCTGGGAGAAAAGCCGAATGATTGGGAGGAGTTTACTCAAAAGGGAGCCAAAAAACGAAAGAATGAGGACAGTGAGAAATATGTGAGACAGCCAACAAGAGGGAGTGAATGAAAAGATGTCTGACAGTGAGGGAGTGTTGGGGAAGAGCAAGCGACAGACAGAGATAGAGAAAGGAAGAAAATCTGCTCAAACTCTCTCAGGATGCGTTCAGGCGCCAGCATGATACCTCAGCCAGCAGACAGACTTTGTTCTCATTACTCCACAGAAAGCAGTGAACAGTCAGAGGATGGAGAAACAGAGGAGGATCTCTGGAGAGATGTTTACTCATTGGGTTGTGCCCTGCTGCATCCCGCTCTGCCGATCCCAGCAGGGCACTGAGGAGGGGATGCTGTACTCTTTGATCCTCGTGCTCTGTGCACGGATGAGCAGGAGGACTCTGGACTCTGCCCAGACTCAGTCTCTTTGTAGACCTGCCTGAAGGGCTGGACAGTGCAAGGGTTATAGTTAAACTGGGCCATACTGCAGTCAGAACAAACCAATTTCAGTTTCTGAGCAGTGTTTTCATTCAAGTTTCTTACTATTTTGCATTTCAGCCCACATCAGAGATGGTGATAAAAGCTGGAATGCAGCCAAGAACTTTTGAGTCATTAAAAATTTCTTTGGTGTCAAGTCCGTTCTACGGCACCGTTCTTTGTACTGGAGGACAAATGTAAAAAGAGTTATGTAGCACACACAGTGGAGGGAGAATACTGGATTTGAGCATTTCTTTATATATTTATATTTTGCCATTCATTCGCTCATTTGCAGTTACAATGATTATGTAAAGCCATTATGCTGAGGCAAAATGCACCTAAATAGAAAAGGAGAGAAAAATAGATGCTGGTTATGAAATGGCTTCAAGAAAAAAAGGTTGTAATGGCATTTATTTTTTATACTGTATTCAACAATTCCATTCCTCAGTGTGCAGACTTTATCTACTAGAGGTCCAGTCTGTTATTAAGAATGAACCAGCTGAGTAAACTAATAACTGATGTCCTCAATCCAGACGTCACGGTTGGCCTCATACAGGCTAATCCTTTAATTGGTGCAGCCAGGCTGCCTGAGGTGCTCAGGTCTTGAGCTAAAAGTCAACCGAATTGGAATACAATGCAAAAATCTCCATTATGACAAGTAATATAGTCTGTTATTAAATCTTAAAATCATAATTGTCTTAAAGCATTTGAAAGAAACTTTTTACTTATCTCCCGGAAGAGTCAGCTTGTTTCTAGCCTGATATTTTGAGCCATCTCAATCTTCTAGAAAATACCTGAAACAAAAAGAAACTGCAGCGGGAACAAGTAGATTTATCAGTGTCCTTTGAAGTCTGAATACGAGACAAACTGAGTTCCTCTGAAGATTGTTTTATTGCAGTGAGGCTGACACGATTTTGAGATTAGTTCTAAATTTCCCTATCAGTTGCTGCAGTCTGCCTCTGCCTTTGGGCAAATTTCAAATGATTTAGAAAGCAGTGACAGTGATAATGTGGAGCCCCAATCCTTCCCCTCATTTTAATGACACAACCCTTTTATGTGCACTCTAATGCGCAAAAAAATTGAGGTGAATTGTGCATGAATGCATACCTTGGGGAGAATCTCATATTTAAGACGCCTTGTGGCTTTTATCACTAAAATGATTATCAGGCTGCCAGTGAACAGAGGAGAGATGGAGCATGTGGAGGTGTTGTGATGAGAGGTGGGTATCAAGAGATCGTGTGTGTGTGTGTGTGTGTGTGTGTGTGTGTGTGTGTGTGTGTGTGTGTGTGTGTTAAGGAACTACCAGCATGATGTCAGTGCCAGGTCTAGGCTCTCTCCTCTCAATTTCTTCCCTCTATCTCTCTATCCCTCTGTCGGGCTTTGTAATAGATGCACTGTCCTCGGCTGTGAGGAGATAGGGACAAATCTAGGACTTGATTTGGTTTTGGATGGAAGGCGAGGCTGAAATTGCCTACTGGACACCTCAGGTTAGATGTACAGTCGGGTACATGATCAGGAAAAAAAATACTTTGATTAAGTGTTAGCTGTTGGTGTGAATGATATTTTTAGCTGGGGTTGCTTTATTAGCCATACTAGCAGCATGGCAGTTGGTCAGTCCACTTTGGTCCAGACTAAAATATCTCAACAATGGATTGCCATTAAATTTTGTACAGACATTTCTGATCCTTAGAGGATCAATCCTAATTGATCACACCACACACACACACACACACACACACACACACACACACACACACACTTTTCCTCCTGAGGCCAACATTTTGATTCATCCAATGCTTTTGTTTATGACCAAACACCCGCAAAACTAATGACATCAGCCCAGCTTTGCTCTGTGTGGTTATTGCTAATTTGGAAATGTCAGCATGCTAATGTGGTAAAATAAACATTACATCTGCTAAATATCAGCATGTTAGCATTGTCATTATGAGCATGCTGATGTCAGCATTTAGTTCAAAGTTAGACTCCTCTGCATCTACGTACAGTCTCACAGAGCTGCTAGTGTGACTACAGATTCAGTTTTTTTTCAGAAAAAATTAGTTCATTAGTGTTCAATAGAAAGCTCTTTTGATTTTCTGAAAATATGGTCTGGTATTAAAGTTAGATCTGCATCTTTAATAATATAAAACATATGTATTGTTGGTCTTTTTCCCTAAAAATCCACAGAGTATGATTTTAAGCAGCCATGCAATTTATCTGCACAATATTAAAGTCTTAAACACTTTATCTGGCATTTAACATACTGTATCATTCACATTGACTTGAACAGTTCAATTAATATTTGGGAACATGAAGTAATGCCCAAATATAGAGTTAAGCCTTTAATCACACAAATCCGTTTAACATGGAATTAAAAGCAATATGGCATAACAAATCAATGGCAGTCTAATGGGGATTCACTAAGTATATTTAAAGTTTGACATGCGAGTGAAGTCTATATTTTATGCTAACGACCTTTTTAGAAATACCACCGCAAAGGTCATCAGTGTTGTCATCAAAGTCAATCTTATTGACACTCTTCCTACTTGTGTGAGACCATTAAAGAGATACTTTCACAAGTACAGACACCACACGGACGCGCTAAAACACCCTGCTAATCTAATGTAACTCAGGAGACAGATTTTGTCAGCGACTCCACACTAAATTTGGCACCGTAGTTTGAACAGATTCCATGAGCATCTGTTTGATTTTTAGAGGAATTCTAAAGCCGGAAAATTGTGGGAGCGGGTGCGAGGAAACGGATGGAGCTTTTTTTCACAGAAGAAGCCAAAAGTTTAGGCTTGAAAACTGGTGTCACATTTCACCACAACCTCCGTTTCATCGCAGGCACCCGACATGTATGACAGAGCAAAGGCACATAAATCATGTGACAGCTGTGGTCATGAGTCAGAGTTATTCTGAAGCTTCTGCTAGAGATACTCATCAGTTATGACTAAAAGGCTGGAACCAACATGTCAAATGTTCAAATGTCAGAGGGACAGGAAGAGAACAGGACGAGGTGCAAGGTGTATGTGTTTGCGAGTGTGTCTGTCTGTGAACAGAGAGCGAGAGGTTGAGAATAGAGAGTGATAGGGGGGAGAAATCAAGAGCAGCAAGAATCCATCTGGGAATATTTGAGCACAGACGGAATATTGTAGCAGGTGATGCGCTATGAAGACTCTACCGTAGCTGATTGAATATTCACCCTCCATCAAACATCACCATCAGTTTGAATAAGTGCGCTCTGTGGAAGAAATCATTTTACAGAACTGTAGCGCTATAGAAGGAGATATTTATTCAGTTGTCTCTTTTAAAATTTGAAGGTGGAAGTAATCGAGCTCTTCAGTTTTATTTAATTTTGTCTCACAAAGACAGAGTCATAATTAATTTCATGCTCACATTTTGAAACTACACACATACACACTTCCACATTTATGCAGGCTACCTTCATCCATTGGACGGGCAACTGCCAATTTTGATCGATGCGAACGTGAGTAAAAAATTCATTCAGTTCAACCGTGCCTCTGCAGTAGCAGCAGCACAGAGAGCAGAACTCGTAAACAGCCTGGCAGATTAGTTTCTCTTATACATAATTTTCATAATTTTGAGTATCACAGAATATCTCCAAACTCAGTCCTAACACACTAAAGGTGCAAAACACACTTGAAATATATACACGTGTACAACATGAAATCCGTTTGTGCTTTCAGCTCAGGGAAATGCAGAAGAAAACTGATTACCTGCTTCAAGCACATTCTTTCCTCTCACATGTTTTGGTTATGACAAATTAGTGTCTGATGGAGTAACAGCCAAGAAGGAAGTGATTGAAATCCTCTGGAAACCCTCAGCAATCGTACAACTTCTCATAATTCATGAGGCTGCTGATTGATTTTCAGACGTGCTTTGGATGTATTTGGCACAGTCTTCACTTGCTTCCCAGTAATGAGCACAGCAAAGCAGTGGCAAGGTTCATCTGTAACTTTTCTGACTCACCTGCTTCTCTTCTGTTTCCCTTTGCTTATGTGTGTGTGTGTGTGTGTGTGTGTGTGTGTGTGTGTGTGTGTGTGTGTGTGTGTGTGTGTGTGTGTGTGTGTGTGTGTGTGTGTGTGTGTGTGTGTGTATGTGTATGTGTATGTGTGTGCGTGTGTGCCTGTTTTGTGTATGAAGGCTGTGTGTATGTGACATGGACAGGCTCGGACGAAATGAATTCATCGGAGAGGTGAGAGTGGCTCTGAAGAAACTGAAAGAGGGCGAGAACAAACGCTACAATATGGGACTGGAAAGAATTGCACAGGTACATTGTGTGTGTGTGTGTGTGGCTGTGTGTGTGTGTGGCTGTGTGTGTGTGTGTGTGTGTGTGTGTGTGTGTGTGTGTGTGTGTGTGTGTGTGTGTGTGGCTGTGTGTGTGTGTGTGGCTGTGTGTGTGTGGCTGTGCATGGACTGTTCACATACCAAATGGGTTTTTGTGGACATATATATCAAGATGTGTCCTATCTCCATTGTGCATGTTTGCCAGGGGGATATCAGACATCAATTTCAAATGCTGCATTATATTGAGTAATAGATATTCACCTGGAGGCTCTGTAGGTTATAACCACCATCTCTCTCTCCCTATGTCTCTCTCTCTCTCTCTCTCCCTCTCTCTCTCTCCCTCTCTCTCTCATGTTTCAGAATAAAGAAGCCAACAATCAAACGGTGGAGCAGGGAGCGCTTGTGGCAGAGGAGGAGGTAATAAAATCATCAGCTTTATCAACACCAATCTTATTATTACCATTTTCAACCAAAACATGTCTCGTTATTGTAATTTCCTATTACTTTTATATGTCTAATACATTTTCTTATCTTTTCAGCAGTTCTAATCTATCCTCTATTTCCATCATCACAAAAGGAGAAAAAAAATTGTTTTAATTAAAGGTTTTAATCTGTATATGTGTCTGCTGCATGAACCTTAATACACCAGTGTGAATGGAAACTATTCACATAGACACAGTGTAGCAACAGTTTGTGAATCACACCAGTGCAGCTAGTCCAGTGTTTTTCTCCTCTGGTGGACGTTATCGCATTTCTCTTCATGATTTTAGAGACAGAGGCTAATAGCTTTTGGTCTCTGATTAGATTCAGTTTATGGCTCAACCTGGAGATTAAAAGGGGAAGGGAGCAGTGTCATTTTGCCACACTCAGATAAGGCCTTTAATTACAAGCTTCAATCTGAATACTCCTGTTGCCCATGAGAATACACATCCTGGGTTGTAATTACAACTAGTTTATTTGCAGTCATTATTTTAATTCCCTTTTCATCTCTTCTTTATTTCATTTTTGCTGTGAAAAGTGAAATGTGTTTTGAGAAACTCCACTGACCTGCTGCAGGATTCTCCACCGCACGCATTCGCTGAAGAGCGAGACATCGGGGTAGAAACAGGTGCTGTGTCTGACACTGTTGTTTGCTATGTCCCCCAGCGTGGCCGCATCCTGGTGTCTCTGTGCTATAACACAGAGAAGAGCTGCCTGATGGTTGGTATCATACGCTGTGCCCATCTGGCCGCCATGGACTCCAACGGCTATTCTGACCCCTTTGTTAAAATGTAAGTCACGTCAGATATTCATGAGCAAACCTGGTATTCTACAAATTATGCTCATATGCAACTATTCTGCATCAGCAGTTTGTGCTAATGTCGGAAGTGGTGTGATGTTCTCTTAGCATAGCACAAATTTAGGGTGTGGAGGTGAGCATGTTGGGTTCAACAATGCGATGTCTTGTCTCATGAGAGCAGTCAGTGTTTTTCTTATGTAATAATGATTACAAGAACCAGGGAAACTTAACATTAACAATATCTTAACCATTAGCTGCCATGCAAAGGTATATCCAATTAGTCTTAATTTTTTCCACCTTTGAGAAACTCCCTCATTTCGTTTGCATTGTGAGACAATATTGTACATTAACAGCACGCTCAAAATTCATTTTAGCTTGCATACTGACTTTTTGAGCATATTTCGTTTTGTCACTGAACCCAGAGTTACAGTGTGTAATCTTTGTTCTGCTTCACACGTGCTTTGCCCTTTAAGCAACTGACAGGCTTGAGGGGGAGTAGCCAGATGCCCTCCTCTGACACAACACTCACAAAGGTTCAGTAAGAAACACACATACACGAGTCACATTCCGGGACCTTATTGCATTAGGGACAGGAATGGAAAGTCAGCATGAGCCTGACTGACCTTAAACAGTACAACAAGCGACAAGCAGATCAACAATCCTCTGAACACCCCTTTTAAGATGAAATACGATGATTCTGTGACAATCTCTAAGACACAAGGAAGGTGTAAGCTTGAAGATGTAAGCAGCTGCATGTAATGCCAGTACAAATCTTTAAAATGACTGCAATCTGGGAGATCATACCACTCAGTGAGACTGATTTTCTCAGCTTTTCATCTCTTCAAAGACTAAAACACAGAACCAGCGAGAGGCACAGTGTCCAACTCTGTACACCTGAGCCAGCCTGCCTGTAAGGCATGGGTGATGACAGATAAAACCCACACAGCTCAATCTCCAATCTGCCTGCTGCACTTAAATACCAATAGTGCAAGGACTGAGAGCTCCCACACAGGACAACCAATCCTGTAACCAACGCCACCTCCAGCAGTGGGAGGCTTTGAGGTAGAAGGAGCTCCAGGCAGTTGAAATTGCTTCTAAAGGAAGTTTTAAAGGCTCTAAAGTGTTTTTTATTTTCTGAAGTGGATTACACTGTGATGCAAAATAGTGTTATTGGAGTACAGTCATTTAAGGTTTAATACCTGACTTGGTTTTGACCCCTTTAGTTTTTGACCAAGACCATGTTGTCCTGGTAAAAGATGTAGAAAACATTAATGTTTCACTAATATTTAACCTTGTGAGTATTTCTTTTCTTTTCTGTTGTAAACCCGCCTCCTGAAAGGAGATTAAAACAACCAATCCACTTGTTTGACACGAAGGGGTGCATGACACATTGTCATGGTGTGCATGCAGGCTCCTTTGTGATCCTGTGCACCCTACAGTTACCCATAACACCTTTCACTGTCCAGATTTGTAGGGAAGGTTACATGTGCTGTATTTCCAGACTTACATAAAGGACTGGATGACCCACACAGTCTTTTTTTTCAGTCCTAAGAAGTCTGAAGGACTGAATCAAATGGAAAGCTAGAATTACAGGATTAAAAAACATTTTGATCTGAAGTTGTTTTCAGTAGGTTGCACAAGGTGGGCAAAACGTATCAATACACACCCACAGTATTGGGATTTTGAAGGTCTTGTGAATTGCTGTAGAGAGAGAGAGATGAGACAAACAAAAAGCAAAGAGGAGGCTCACGTCTTGTCTCAAGCACATTTTTCTTTTCTTCTTTCTTAACGTATTGATTTGTTTGAGACGTGACGCCTTGTGCTTTATTGGCCTATTATGATGCACAGTGTTTTTGAGTACTCTGGAAAATGCACCATATGCTCTGTCTGTCATTCTTTTCTCTTTACCAACTTTGTTGAATTTTGTTTGAATTTGCTGTGTTTGTTCTGCGTCCTTGCGCTGGCTCTTTCTCTTTTATCCACACTCCTTCAGTTTACATGATTTGTTTAAGCCACTGCTCTGATCCGATTCTTATTTCTGGCACTTGAGTCATTTGGGTTTTTCATTTGCCACTCTGCCAGAGTTTCCTTTTGTTTGTTCCCTTCAGTGTTTTTGTACCAGTGTTTACCTCAGTTTAACGGATGGTCTGCAGAGAATGTGTCGCTCTCCTCATTCATCCTTTTGTGGTTTCCACCATAAACCTAACATCATCAATAATTTATGCTCTAAAGTTTCAGTGAACTTAACTTTAACAAAAGAATAGGGGTGAATGTATTGCTGGCACAGGTGAATTACATCTCTAGAGTATACTGAACAATTAAATCAACACAGAAGTGAATTTGCTCAGGATGTTTTCTAAATTACTCCACTGTCAGTTTGGTGATGTCCTGCAGTTGTAACACCAGCAATTCTCTTGAGGAATCTGTAACTAAAGCTGAACTTGATGCCAGTTGCTCTTTGTCCATGCTGTGTTTTTATGAGTGTGTGTGTGTGTTTTTTGTGTGTGTGTGTTTTTTTGTGTATGTGTGTGTGTGTGTGTGTGTGTCCGCACATTTGTCTAGAAGGCTTTTCCAATTGGTCTTTTTCTCACTGTGACTCTCAATCAGCCTTTCGAAGCCATTCAAGTGACACAAGGTCAGAATGATCTCAGTACTAATTTGTCTTCCATTTAAAAGGACAAATTAGCATTTTAAAGACTAAATGAGTTTACATCCTTCAGGGTGGGGATGGGGGGGTCACATTTCTCCCCCCTGCTCTTCACACATTACGTATAATATATATACTGTATATATACTGTATATATATTTATATTCTGTCAGGAAAAAAAGACACATGAAGACAGAAAAAAGTGCAAAACATGTCAGATATTTCCTGCTGACAAAGCACAAGGCCATGCTTTACAGTATTAGTTCTCTCTCTCTTTTCCTCTGAACACTTGTGTGAAGTGAAAGTCATAACTCCTCTCTGCAGCAGGCGTATATTTAGCTCTTCTTTTCCAGTTGTCACTTATCTTCTCTATCACTTTTTTTTATTTTTACATCTCTGTGTCATAACTTCTTTGGTGTGGTGACAGGTTTTTTTTATCACCAGTTCCCTCTAGATCATCCCTCCCTGTCACCTCTCAGCATTTTTTTTTTCTTTTTTCCATTTACAGGGATGCTCTTGTTCTTGTGCCTGCTGTTAGGATGCTGTTAGGTACCACAATTTTCATGACTCAACCAGTTAGAGAGTTGTCAAATTGTCATGTGACTGTGCGCAGTGGCTCCTATGACATGAAGTGGCATTTTGGGCAAAGACAAACAAAAAATGTCATGTGATGCTTGATGTATATGATGTCGAATTGTATGTGTTGCTGCTGTTGCTGTTGTTTCAGGTTGTGTCGATAACCCTCTCCTCTCAAAAAATGTCATATGTCGTTTCATTTCACGTGCACATATATATATATATATATATATATATATATATATATATATATACATATACATATATATTTATGTATATATATACATCTATATATATATATATATATATGTATATATATACATATACATATATATATATGTATATATATACATATATATATATATGGAGTAGTTTGACATTTCAGGAAATATGCTTATTTGCTTTGCCGAAATTTAGATGAGAAGATCGATACCACTCTGATGTTTGTACAGTAAATGTGAAGCTACAGCCTGCAGCCAATTAGCTTAGCGCAGCACAAAGACTGAAAACGGGGAAACAGCTAGCCTGACTCTGTCCAAAGGTTACAAAATCTGCCTACGCACATTGATTTTCTCATCCACCAGCAAAAAAGCAAGTAAGCATATTTCCCGAAATGTAGAGCTATCCGATCATAAAGGCAAAGTGTGTATCTTCCTTAATACCTGTCTTGTTGGTATAAAATCAGCAAGGAGGCTCCACTGCAGTGAATGCATTGTAAAGTAAAAGAACCTTAATATCAGAATATACCTGAACTCTGTAATGTATTTTGCACAGAATGAGGACTGAACCTTTTCCAATGTAGTCAAGCTACGAGGAGAGGGCTACATGCTTAGTACGTACATGAGGAATAATTACAGTGACCAGTAACTCTTTCAAGGTGCATACAGTGCATGTATGTGAGTATTGTATTACAGTAAGATATACTTTAAAAAATCTGAACCTATCATTTAAAAAGAAAACGAAGAAGAAAAAAAGAAAGAGATAAACATTGTAAATTAAAATACGAAAGAAAAATCAAGAAAAATATATTAAAAAGTCTAGAAAAGAATGTAAACAGTAATGTAATATATAAGTTAACTGTTGTAACAAACTCTAGTAATATGAAGACAGCAGAGTTTGAATAAAATAATGTTAGCACATACAGTAGGTGTTCATTTTGAGGCTGCAGTATTACATCACATTTCATTATATTACATGTACAGGTACGTGTTCCTGTTATTTTGTGTGTTATTCTTAACATGATTTAAGAAGCTGGTGACAGAGTTAAAATGGTAGAAGAATACAGCACAGAAACGTATGGGTAGTTTACTTTATTCTGCAGTGAACAACCTACTTTTTAAGGGAACAGCTGACAAAAAAAAAAAAACTGAGAGGATAATCCTCTCATATCTCCACGGACCAGCCTCCCATGTTATGAATTATTATTCACATTGAATTTTCTACGGTAATTCGAACATAGTTTGGTTGCTGCTGTTCGGAATATATTTTTATTTATGCTATCATTGTTGATGAATGTTGCTGTCAAATGGTGTTTTGTTATTGTGGAAATTGGAATTCCCCTGTCTGAGCTGCCTCGGAGCCGTATGTAAAATGCGATTTGGCACAGCTCAAGCTGAGATGTCTCATGGGCTTTCACCTCACCCTCTCACACGCTGCTGGTCAAATAGAGGCTTTGTTTGGCTGCCTCTCTCAATTGATTCCTTCTTTTCTTCCAGTTTACCTTTTCTTTTCTCGTGAAGACAGACAGACCATTGTATAAGCAGCAGGTATTTTGGAGGATAAATGCTGATTAGCTCATGGAGAAAATGACCTTTAAAAATGCAGTAAACATCGAACTGAGCCTGTGACTGGTGACAAGACATTGTTTGGTAACATTTTATGAGTTAAATGACTGTGTAAATTTATTACTTGTGGGCACTTCTTTTGAGACACTCAGATTTAAAAGAAGTGTCCTTTCTCAAAGAGGCTGTGAATCCTCTCTTAGTCTAGAGGTCCAGATGCAGTCTTGGCTGGACATTGAGATACCCGACCCTGTAGTTTCTCTAAGCTCTGCAGTATTTTAGCACTTTTCACCTCATTGTTTTGGTTTTATGGCCCACATTTTACTGTTTGGTCTCACCTCTTTCACCAAAGTCATTTTCAGCTGCAGCAAGCAGCTGTTTTGAGTGAAAAGGCTCTGATAGACTATATTTTACCTGCCCAGCACCAAAAGGCAGCATGCAGCTAAAACTCTAATATTTTTCCCCAGGAGTCGGTGAAAAGTAAAACAAGAGTGAGTGTGAATATTGGACTTACATTCGTCCAAAAACATAACTCCAGCTGAATGATAATTTTGCTCTGTGCCTGCTGAATGTGTGAATAGGTAACTGTTTGCTAACATATTCACCCTTAACAAATGTTGCAGTATGCTAATGTGGTGTTTACAGCTTGGTGCAGTGCCCCATAAAAGTGGCCACAAAAAAATCAATTCATGCAGGTTTAACCAACAGTCACAAAATCAGATCAGCTGCAGAATGAGACTATAGCTTTGTATATTTACTGGAAAGTGGTTCCCAACTTATTCGACTTATGGACCATTAAAACAAAGCGGTGCCTACAAGCAGTGGGTTGTCACAGATTCTGGCCTTAGTGTGGAGTTGTGAGCAGTCCAACCAAACAGTGATTTTTACTCAGTATTTTGTTATATTTTGATGAAAATGTCAAGTGTTTCATGAGGAAAAGGCAAAAAGTTTGATTCTTTTCACATAATTTAGCGTTGGTCTTGTCAATCTAAATCTTGTTATCCCTCAGATTTCTCTTGCCTGGCATATGTCTGTCCTGCCCCACTAACTACTGTAGGACACCAAATAAGGCCGTAGACAATAGGTATACTCTGATCTTGAGGCTCCTCTGCTCAGTGCTGGTTAAAAATAGTTCTAGGTTGTAACTGTGAGGGGTTTTTTTCGTTGTCAACAAAAAGAAACACTGAAGTCACAATTGTCTCTGGCCACTGCTACTTTGTCAGATCATGTCATATCATGAAAAATGACATTTTTAGCACTGATGGCAAACTCGACTCTTTGTGTCACCACCTTGCTTTCTATCAATTCCTCCTCCTCTTCCTGTTCCCTCTCCACCTCCATCCCTCCATCCTTCACTCGCTCTGATTCCGGCTCTGCAGTGACAGCCCCAAGCCCATCTCATGCATCAGCTGTCAGGCCAGGATTCGTCACTAGTGGTGGTAGTGGGGGGAGGCTAGAGGAGTGAGATATCTCACCGCCTGAACATCTTGACTTGGAATTTATGCTGATGATGACTCCCTTTGCCCTCTAGCGATCCTTCTGTTGCCTCTTTGCCGAAGTGTATACTCCTCCGACATCGGCATGATTATGATCTTGCTGTGGTCTACTGTCTCTCCCTCTCTTTCTCTTTCTCTTTCACTGGCTCGCTGTCCTCCATGTTCAAAAGACTTCTGGGTCACAGTTATCTCAAACAAAAGATTTTGCAAATTTTCTGTCTCCCTTTGTTTCTGCCATTCAGCGAGGGTTATTGTCACAGCAGGGCAGAAGATAATAAATTCATGGATTAATTACTTTGATCTCAGAAATAATGAATGTTCTGACCCAGTTTGAGAGGTAAAATGTATTTGAGGATCTCTATTTTAGAAATGTTGTTTTTACAGTTGCCCCTGCATAGAAATTGCTCCATTTCTTTACAGAAGTACATCCGTGATCTACAACTAGACTGCAATCAGAGAAATAGTTGGACATTTTGAGAAACACATCTAAAGCTCTCTGAGTAACACGATATTTCTTATTTAAGTATAATGCAAGCTCTTTCCCTTATTCCCAGTCTTTATGCTGAGTTTATCTAAGCTAATAGCTACTGGCTCTAGTTATATTTTTAATGCTGGAAAGACATGAGAGTTGTAGCAATCTTTTCATCATCTTGGTAAAAAAAAAGAAAAGAAAATTAGCTTATTTAACAAACTGTTAAACTATTCCTCAAATTATTCTTATAAATTTAAGCTGTTGTACTGAGGTTGGAAACAACTTAAAGAGTAAAAGGTCCCGATTATTTGATGTCCTGTTTAGCTTGTGCTCTCTTTTTTTCTCTCTCTTTCACAGCATCTTGCAACCAGATATGGGGAAAAAGTCCAAGTACAAGACTTCAGTGAAGAAAAAGACTCTCAACCCTGAATTCAATGAGGTAAATGTGTCTCTTGCTCCACAAATAACCACAGTACACCAGGAAGCTTCTTTAATTTGTCTGCTCAGCACCATATGAATTCCTGTTGTGTAGAGCAGGGCAATTAACCATACCTTTTCAAATATGACATCTCCTTCAATGTGTTCTCAGCATCAATCTGCATGTTTTTTATGAAAAAAAGCACCAATCTAGTTCCTTTCAACTCCTGTGTTTATGAATCATTGATATAAATATGCTCTTGTGTGCGCCACCTGCACAGGAGTTTTCATATGATGTATCCCTGGACCAGCTGGCAAAGAAAACCCTGGAGATCTCTGTGTGGGACTACGACTTGGGAATGAGCAACGACTTCATAGGTAGGCCGATAGAGACTGTGATGCGGTGGGGAGGAGTGGATGAGGGAAGCAGCAGCACCAGCAAAGTAGATGACTCTACAGGAATGTTTGAATGAAAGCGATGCAATTGCAGAAAACATAAAAACCAGGCCAAGTGTGGGCGGAGAGAGGAGTAGAAAAAAAAAATGCAGAGAGATGAGGGGTAATTATGAGGCTTGAGGAGAATGATTGAGCAAGCAAAGGAAAGTTTGAAAGAGTGGAAAAGGAAATGGAAAGGCTTTGGAAATCAGAAAGGACGACATTTGGTCTGGATCCCCATCCTTCATGGTCTCGGCATATCAGATCACTGCTGCCCCATCAGGCTGCTAAACAGCTTTGGCATGGCCTGCTGTGTATATCATGGCAATGGGAGCTTAGGGAGTGATGGGTAACTAGTGGGGATGCACAGCGAGAATGGATTACCACCCTGTGAGCTTGGAGACCTTCAGATCAAAGCGTTTTACGTTGTCTTTATGTGTGTGTGCTGTGCTCACATGTGTGTGCGTGCGAGGCAGTGGATGGGTGGGTTAGTGGGAGACGCCCGGTGTTTAGATAAGCCCAGTGAGTTATTAGCCCTGCTGGGAAAAAAGGCCATGTCTAACATACAGCCCCAGATAACAGCCATTCCCTTGACCATTATCATATAACAGGCTTGGCTACAGCACCCTCCCAGTTATGTTAATTGAAGCTGGGAGAAAAATGACACTGAGACAAGGAAGAATGGAGAAAACGAGTTGATAAAGGGGCTGAGCGAGCACGATGCCACTGCACTAGTATGAGAGTGAGAGCAATAACAAGTGGACTAATAGGCTTAGCAGAAGATATAGAGGATGTCAAATGGTAAAAGGTGAGATTTCAAAGATACATGGAGGAAAAAACTGAACAGTGAGAGGAAAAATGAGGGGGCAAAAGTACACAAGAAAACACAGGCAATAAATCAAGTGGATAACTTGAGGGAGCAATCGATACACTAGGAGAGATGGGGAATTTCATCTTTGCCCTGAACCAAATCCAAGCCTCTGATTTTGAGTCGTGTTTTACATTTACAAATCAGGAAAACTATAAAACCTTATACAGAAAACACAATACAACTGAGACACTATACTGTAGATAGTCTAATTCAAGTCCCAAGTGAGAATGAATCTGATACGCCACATCAGTATCTGCGCCGGTACTGATATTAATAAGCAGATCAGGTATCTGCCATGTTGTGATTAATCCACATTAACTACAGCTTCTTCGTCAGTGATGTAAAAATCAGTGATCCAGCTATAAGTTATGTATATTCATTTAGTCACATTGGGCTGCTTCCTTCTGGTTTTAGTTCAATCGCTTTTAGTAGCAATCGCTGGCCTTGTGTTAGCTTTCATAAATATCATTTCCATGCAGTAAGCTGTACAGATTCGTACCTCTCTGCATAGAACATGTATTGGATCTGTACTCAGAAGACACCCTAAGTTGAGATATTGGATTTGTTATCAAAAAAAAATAGAGAAACCTCATTTGACCAGGTTGTATTCAAAGCTGCGCTTTTATTGTTTTTTTTAATGGCTTTCGATTCAAAAAGTGGTTGGTCTGAAGTGTCGTCTGCACATTTCTAAGGCAAAGGTGTTTGTACTTGGTCCAAATGACCACACTTGAAAGCTTTTCACACATGTTGGATGATGGTGCACACACTGAGTCATTCTGTCTTCAGAGGCATTCACAGTGTTGCACGCAAAACAACACACCAAATGAGAGGGAAGCAGTCCTGTGTGAAAACATTAAAAGACAGTTTGAGAGAAAAGTTCAAATCCTGCATGTTTTCGAACCTACACACACCTGGCCAATGGCTGCATGAAGTGGGCATGCTTGTTGAACTGTTGGTCCTGTTACAAAAAATTGTCAGATGTAGCCCCCCAAAGGAAGGAGGAACATGTGGGGACTTCCATGATCTGACAAGAACTGATGCCTTCGGGTCGAATGCTCTGCTGGATACTTGGCTCACTACAGCTTGTGTATCTGCTGGTAGGGTTGGATGAGACAGATGTGCAGCAGAGGAGGATTTTGTGTAAAAATAAACAGACAGATACAGGGTAAAACCTGTGCGAGTGCACATCTGCTTGCCAGCGTGTCAGTCTCACACTCGTCTGTGTCATCTCCTCCGGCTCCGGTTCCTCATCCTTCTTCTGTGCCCCATTGCATGTCAGGATGGCTGACCGTTCGTTTGTCACTAGCGACCCTCGGGGTACACTCCATCGATCTCTGTTCGGAGGTGGTGGGAGTGTTGTGGGGGCGGAGGTGACAAAGTGTTGTGCGTGATTATCCTATCGAAACTGTCAACAGGTTTAGACCTGCTCTCTAAGTTGTGTGTCTTGTGTGTGAGATGGAGGATACAGGTTATGAGACACTGTAAGACTGCTCCTCTCTTCCCAGTGGCTGCATCTCAGGCAGCTTTGGCTCCCGAGCTCAGATGAGTTGCAGATCAACAATCAAGCCTTGTTTGCTTGCGGCTGTCATTTTCCAAGGCACTGTTAGAAGCCAGCATTGCCAAAATACCGTGTTTAAAACTTCACGCTCCATTAACTGTGCAATCACAGCCAAGGGAATGGCTTTGTAATAACCTCGGTGCAAACAACTGCCTGCATGTCTCTGTCTTCCAGCCTGCCTCTCCACCAACGCCTCCATCACCTCCACTCACTTTCGCCTGAGTCATTTCCTGCTTCTGTGCATATTTACCCCCCCCCCCCCCCCCTTTCAGTCTTGAGNAGCCATGCTCTTTCAATAAATCGTTTGCTGTCTAAATCTCTCTCCCTCGTAATTCCCCAGCTACCTGTCTATTTCTCTTTCTCTCTGCCTGGAGGAATTTGTCTTCAGTGTCTGTATATTTCCTCCTTTGCTCTCATGTCTGTCTGCCTGTCAAATAATAATTATCTTTATTGGCGTGAATGTTGATGTACATTATTGCCGAAGCTCAATATCACATTATTGATTATTAGATTTTAACAAGAATGCAAAATGTCTGCCTGTCCCCTTAGTCATTTTCCACAACTGGCGGCATCATCAAAAATAACTAAGTATATTTATTCAGTGTCTGTACTTGCAGTGTTCACTTGGGACATCTATTGTTCTAAAAAAGCTCTAAAAACCCATTGTACTCTACGTTACCTGCTGAGTAACAGACAGCAAACAGTCACAGTTGGAGACTAGCTGAGAAAGTCTGGAAAAAAAACAATGAATTTGAGGAGCACAACTTTTTTCTTCTTTCCTACTCCATTAATCATCTCACAACCCTTCAGATTTATCTTATGACCCGTACAAGGGGGGCAAACCACTTGGCTAAACTACTGAACTGTGAATAAAGTAGTTAAATTTAGCTCCACATTGACCAGCTGCAGCAGTAAAATGCTACATGTGATTTGATGCATCAGTCTGAACAATTTAATAATATAATATATAATTATATCAGTCACAGCTACATCTTTCTGAAGCACTTTTACTTGTAGTAATTTTATGTCGCCTTATTAGTACTTTTACTTAAGTAAAGCATCCGAGTGCTTCCTCTACCACTGGTCTTTCTTTCTGTCATGTGCCCTCACCTCCTGACCCTTCTTCTCTGTTGTTTCCCTGTGGTTTCAGGTGGAGTGGAGCTGGGGATCAATGCAAGCGGTCAGAGACTCAGACACTGGTTCGAATGTCTCAAAAACAAAGGGAAGAAAGTGGAGTACTGGCATACGCTCACACAACAAGGAGCCCCGAGCAGTGACAAACCGGACTAGATCACACAAGACATTCATGCATACATACACATGTGTACACACACACACACACACACACACACACACACACACACACACACACACACACACACACTCACACAAACATTTGTTTCATTGGGCGGTGGTTGGAAACGGAGACCAAGTCATGCAGTCGTAAGAGCAAAGGATAAAACATGCAATAATAATAATGTTGAAGATGAAATCCGTCATATAATGCCAACAATTACAGCACCGAGTATTAGTATATGATATTCATACTAATATTAGTGATGGTAATAAGGTGTAATCTGAATACATTTTTTTAAAGGTGAACCAAATTGTGACAATGTCCTCATTAAAGTGTTGACGTAACAAAACAATACCCACGAAATTGTGCTTTAGACCTTACTGTATTGTGGAAGTTGCTCATATTCTGTCATTGAAATCTACACCTGATGAAGAGATTTGAGACTAATGTACTCAAAAATTCATTCATTGAAAGGGGCCAACACTATGTGCACCCTAGTGACTCATAATGTGGTATTTAGTTATAGGAGCGGGAATGTTCGGAGAAGTCTCTATTTTAGTGGTTGTTGATCTGATGCAAAACAACACACCATATTATAAAGCACAAAACGATCCATTCGGTGGATTTGTACCTTTACTGTTTCAGTGTTCTTGTTCTAATGTCTTTTCATTGACTTTCGGTGACAGTGGCTCTCTATACACCTTGACATCGAACATTAACGTGTCGGCATACGTGTGTGCGTGAGGGCTATGAGAATATGAGTGCCTACATCCACTGTCTGTGCAGTGTGTGTCTATCTGTATTCACATCATGCCCCATTCAAAATGTCTCCGTCCAACTTCAGAAGCACAGAGGTGTGAAGAAATAGTAACAAAGGACAAGAAAAGACATACAGGAGAGAAATCCTCCTCCACCACCACCACCACCACCACCACCACCACCATCACCACCACCACCACCACCACAGACCTCAGTGGTGTGAGTGTTCCTGGCTGGACAACACTGAAAAGCCGTCAATCGTGTGTGCCAGACCTTTACCATCTCTCTCTCTCTCCCTTTGCCAGACAGTCATTGAACAACTTGAAGAATGGAATATGTCTTGATACGTAACCTTTGACTGCTCTTTTTTGATGAGTTGTGTCCATGGCAGGCAGTATGGCTATTGCTTTTGGAGGTACCATTTGTACCTTCGCTTCATTCCAGCATTGTGAACCAGATTTCAACAGGATCTAAGCGAGTTTACCTCAGTGATTCCAATTCTGCTCCAGCAGAGTCACAGATGATGTAACATTTTCTTCTTGCAGGGCAATCTCATACCAGTAATGTATTAATTTGAAATTTCAGGCATTTGATTGTTCCTGTTATCTTATCTATCCCCCTAATCCACCTTTACACACCCTCAGAGCCTCTCCCTGTGTGACAAAAAAAAAAAAATGGCTGTAATCTACATCATCCATCAGGGGGAGTTATTTCTGCGATCATTCATCCCATTATTTCTGACCTATTAGATATTAGGTCTATAGTGGCATATATTTAATCATTTGGGCATGAGACAGGACTGGAGGGACTACTGTGCCCATGTCTATGAAACATATGATTGCCTGCTGAGATTAACTGTGTGTAGTTAGTAGAAATGCAGGCATAGAGAACGGAGCCCCCCTATGATATAACCTCAGGAGATAAAATGAGATTACACCCCGTATGGAAACACATTTGGCAGTAGGGGGACAGTGGATAATCACAGACCAGGATCCAAGATACTGATAAGCTATGCTAGATTGCACACTTATTAACTTACATGTGTGTTACGTGCCTTGATGCACAGATCTGCATATTGATAGGGTGTATGGGCTAGCTTGTTGCTGAGCTGTCTAAATGCCTGCCAGGATATCAAATGTATTCCCTCGGTTCATCTATCACTCCTGCTCTGGCCATACACCGGTTCACAAAAGCATACCCACAGTCAGTCAGTGGCCTCCGGGAGTTTTCTAACTGTTGAATCGATCCGGCTGCTCATATTCTTGGTGTCCTTCGACAACCTTGTGAATGTCTCATCGTTGACTGCAAAAAATGGATCCTTCAGTGGTGAATTAGGTTTAGAATTTAAAAAAAAGGGCTTGGGCATTATAAAAGCTTGGGACTAAACTATGTATTGTAACAGTAAGCTTAAACACATTTTCAGTTAGACCTTAAATGACTTTAACAAGAGGGGTTGGGCAAGAATGGTGGGTTTATTCTGTACTTTCTCTATGCACATCAAAACTCCCAGCACGTCAGCAGTGAGATAATCAAACCAAAACAACATGATCATGTTATCCAAGCATCAAAGATGCATTTCTGGGAACACTTTGTTTGGGGATCAGCTGGGTGGAAGTGCCCTAAGAGTTCACGTTTCTGACTGGATCTGTTGGTTTTGTTTACAGTCACCAAATTTTCTGACTCGTGTCTATTGACCCCGCTTAGCTTATGTAATCATTTTTATCTGCAATACGGCTGCATGTTTAGCAATCATCATCAGCTTGTATAATAGAGTGCAACTTTAGCTGATTGTTCTGGATGCTGATGTGTTTACAGTCTATGCCATCCATTCAGTCTCTTGCCATCAGTGTGTATTTGTTTGTGAATACGATGATTCAGGGTATTTTTTTGCTCAGTTGCTGTGCTTTACCAAACGAGCTATTACTTTAAAAAAAAAAAAAAAAAAAAAAAAAAAAACTTTACTGTCACAGATTTTGACACTTGTCTTCCTTAAATTGATATCAGTGGTGATGATGCAGGAGGGCTGAGATGGGAGCGAGATGGGAATTCACTACTGCAGTCCCTGTGTAGTCACTGTCAATGTCAATCACACAGTATGGCTGCCATCCTGTGGTGGGTTTGTGTAACTACTTCGCAAAAATAAATTGAAGCTGTTTCAGTGCTCGTCTGTCTTCCTTTGAATTACAAGTGATCCGCTCAGTGCTCACATCTTCAAAAACATAAGACAGGCAGTATATGTGCATATGTGTTTATTCATCGACATCTTCAAAGACAATCCACATCAAAGCCTGTGTATATGTTTTTGTAAGGCTGTGTATGTTTTTTTAAGACTCTCTTTAGTGAGTACTTTAAGCAATGCTCATACTGAATTTATATTGTTTTATATCAAGTTTCGAAAAATCAGCTGAATTTTCTGAAAAAAATCATAGTAACATTATGAAATGACATGTATTTCACTTATATCAGGCAGCTTTTCTTCACCATATCTTTATTTCTTCTTGTACATGTGCTTGGTTGCATTTCTCCCACTCCCCCCCACCTCCCACCCTCGCTCTTTCTCCTGCTCACGGGTCGGTTACTCTGCCGATAAAGAGTGGCACATTGGCCTGGTCACTCCACAGCAGCAGGATGAAGGGCCGCAGGGCAGAGAAGGAAGGGAAGGAGCGAGAGAACGCCATAGTGGTGAAAGCGCCAGCCTCTACTCCTTGTTCGGTTAGTGTGAGGAAGGCCCTGTGTCTGACATCGTCCAAGACCAGCATGTTGTCAGTGTTGATGCCACACAGGTTGGGCTCCGTGAAGAGGGACGACAGTCCTGTTTTGGGAAAGAGAGAGAAAGCAGGAAGGAAAGCAAAGTAAGTGGATTACATACAGTGAAATCGAGCAGATGGGGAGACATATTTCACAAATGTCTTCTGGCTGCTAGATAAAGTTATACATGAGCTGAAAGCATGGGTGGTATTGAGTATGTGGTAATAAGCAGAACTTGAGTCTGACAGACGGAACAGCACATGAAAGATGAACAAACCTAATTTCTTGATAAGTATGTTCATGTCTGGCTGGTCATCCAGCTTGATTTGGGGCAGAGTAACCTCGATATAGTGAGGAACTGTTGTTTTCATTCCCTCTATCATTTGATGCACAGCTGTGTCTGTCATCCTCTCCTCCACCTGCTGCAGGTCAGTCGCTTTGTTGGAGCGAGGTAGCAGGATGTAGAGACTGCTGTCACCTGTGAGAAGAAACCTTGCCACCTGTTGGCAAAGTAAAAAAAAAAATACAAAAAACAGATGTTTTCAAAGTCTGGCACTGTCCAGATCTCTGATACCTTTATAATGTAAAAAATATTGATGATCTAACTTGAAAAAAGTCCATATTGATGGATTCTTTCACTCAATTATGTGTCTCGATTTGGAGGATAAGCACGCTTTAAATTTTGGAACTACAGTCTCCATAATGCTTTGGGAGCTGCAAACAGGAAAGATAATCTGCCATGGAGAGTACAGTTAGCTGTGAGCCACAACTAGAGCTTAATTTTTTAGCTCATATTTGTTTATATTTGGAAAATTGGTACCATTAAAAGTATGCTGAATCAGTCATTAGCTGCTGTATATAGTATGTAAATGGGTGGGTTACAGTTAGATGTGTGTTAGTGTGTTTGTTACCTGTGCCTTTAGCTCAACCACATATGTCATAACCGCCATGTATCTAGGGTGATAGAGGAGAGGCACCTTTACCAGATCACCATCCAGTTTTGTGAAAAGACCCTTCTTTGGTTTCAGATTAAACTTGACCTTCCATTGACCTGACACACACACATACGCACAGTTATTAGTTTCCACTATACATGCAAATACTCACATTTGTGCGCGCACACTTCACTGACCATTGAAGGAGACAGCGTTGAGCAGGATCATTTGTGTACTGGGTGAAACTGATTCAACCAACTGGGTGATTTTATTTTGGGTTTTATTTGCCACCCAGCTATTGATCATCCGTGTGTTGTCCTCACTGTTTTCCAGCAGCCTGGTGGGCTCCGCTTCGTAGAATTGAATGGACTGGTTAGCAAAGGACTCGGCCAGATTCATTTCTAAGGAAAAGAACAAAGAAACTATGATGAGCTACAGAGATAAAAATCCATTTATTTTTTGTATGCACTCAGAATCTCTGCATCTTTATCTCTGATTGCATTTCTCTTCACAGAGTGGCCATTTTGTGCACTTCACAGTGTGATAGCAGTACAGTACGTGGGTTATAGTAGATCTGAGAAGCCAGCTGCAAGGAGCCAACCAGCTTCTCTCTCAGCTTCTTCATCTGGAAGTGAATGCAGTGGAAGTCGTGAGGCACACAGACTGCCCTCTCAATGGCTTTGCGAGTGGTATCCCTTGCCCCTGAAAGTATCACAACAAAGAAGAGACAATATAAAATACAGATAATATAGATAGATAATATAGAAAGACACATACTTTAGAGTGGTAAAGAAAGCTGCAAGGTTTAAAATAAGTAGAAGAAAAGCTACTGTGACATTTAAAAGTGAGAAAAGTTTTATGTAAATTCCAAGTTATATAGACATTTTCTTGTCCACAGAAAACAAAGGGATTATGTTGCTTTTTCGACCAAAGAATCTTAAAGGCCAAGGCTGGCGTCATTCTATATGTTTCTTTCTGTCAACAAATGCTATGAAGCAACCAAAATGAATAATTTGGTTGTACATCTCACAATATCCTCTAGCTCCCGCAGCCTGTCTGGGGCACTCAGCTGCACGCCTACAGTATTTGTTCCTACTGGAGATCTGAATATATGAAAACAAAAAATATTATATAAACAAAAAATAAATTAGCTGGGCACTGTAGATATTTACATTTTTTAAATTGTAAAATTGTGTGAACTATCTTCAGTCGTAGATAGTGTATGTGGGATCAACTCATCAACTTGGGATCACTTTAATTGTAATGGAGAAACAGATCATACACTGAGTCTGTGTGGTTCAATGATGTGTTTTTAAAATATTTTTGGACATGAATGGAGCTCTTTGGCATAGAGGAATCAGATATATCGGGCATTAAACATACAGGCAATACTTTAACAATTCATTGATGGTTTTTAGTTTTTTCATGGGATTTGTTGATAATAAAAAATGTGGAATATCACCAGACTTTAAGAATATTTAAGAATAACTAAGAGTTGTTAAATTGATAAAAGCAAATAAGGGACTTGCTTCCCTTTTCATACCTAGCAACAAATGGGAGAGTGCTGCATTGATGCTGATGGGAGAAATGAGCAAGTTGCTAGAAGGATATGACCCTCTGAGGTAAGAATAGAGCTTCATGGAAAACTCTGCCATGGACTCTTGCAGCATGGGTTCCCCTGTGCGACTGTCCTCGTCCTGGCACGGCTCCCATGCTCTGGGGAACTTCTCGCAGGAGAAAGGAGGTTTGGTAGGAACAACTAAAAGAAAGTTAAGCAAATGGTTAAAAATGCTCATAACTGTTGTACCATCTTTTTAAAACAATACCTACACATGGTCAGAAATGAGATTTTACTGTACGTTAAGGCTCTTTGCTATTAAAATTAATACTCAAGCTTGGTTGTTTTGACATTTACTGTAAGAATTAATGGTTACAAATTACATGGACTGTGCAGTATCATTGCAGCGTATAGAAAAGGTTGCCAAACCTACCTTCAACAATAATGTGTATGGTGCTGAGCCTTTCCCCATCTACAGATTCACAATGGTAAATTCCAGCATCCTCCATGACAGTGTCTTTGATAAGGATGGTCTGATCATTGTCAAGTGGATAAAGCAGGCTTAGTCTCGTTGTGTCATCTGTATCGTCTTCAGGATTCAGCTGTGTCCTCCCGACAGGGTCCGTCTTTTTGAACCAGAGTGCATTGGCCATGACTTGGCTGCTGGGTGGGAAGTGGCATGGGAGGTGCACATCTGAGCCTCGGTTTACCTTGATGGTAATGTCAAGTAATGCTGTAGTGAAAAACACAAATAAGTCAACCTCTTTTGGATACAAGCTTTTTCTTGGTTCTTTCACATGTCAATTTAAATCAAAACCAAATAAACAATGCATGTATGTAAGATAAAGATAGGTGCGTATCTCACCAACAACCGTGATATTGTATGTCTTTATTATCTCCGTATTGCTCTCCTTCACAAAACACGCATACTCGCCCTCGTTGGCAGGAGTTACAGGGGATATAGACAGATACAAGCCATCCTTTTTAACTCTAAGTGAGTGATGTGGCTCCTCACTTACATCCTTACCTGTATTAAGAAAAAGATCAAACGGTATAAATATATAAGTGTATACTTTTGCAACACAGTGAGAACAGTGATGATAGAAATATAATAAGACCATTGAATATCCAGGTGATGGTGGATCCAGTGGAGTCAGGTTGGGGTGAGAAACATGGCAGCTCCAGGGTGGAACCAGATATCACCCTGAGATTTGAGCATGATGAAAACTGAACAGAAACAAAGTGTCAAATATCTGATACAAAGGTGATGAATCAAAGAGTCAAGAAGGCTGAGGTTTAAGGACTTTTGTCATCTATTCAATATGGAACATATTGGTGAACATTCTGCCTGAGTAATAAATTTGACATTTCTCAGGAAAGTTTACCTCAAAAATGAGCTGCAGCAAGAGGCAAAGTATGGCCTGTAGTCTCATCTTCAGCGGAGCACAGAGCAGAGGGAGTAAAATAAGATTAGCAAGTAGATGGAGTTGTTTTGCAAGTGAAGATTTCAAAATGATTATGGCATCAAGCCGGAAGAAAGATCAATATATGGCGCAACCTGTGAAACAGTGATATTCCCTACCATTAAAACTTTTCAAAATTAGATCACTTATCTCTGACTTCTACTTTCAATAAAAAACACCTTACACAGAGATCAATCCCATCCAGCTTCAGGAGGTAAATTACTGTTGTTTATAGCAGTATAGCATAATATAATGTAATAATATTTCTTCAGTTCAGCGATTAAACAACAAAAAGTCAAAAAAACATTAAATAACTTACATCTCTTCAATTTCCAAGTGTATCCAAATTCAGTAACGGCACTAGTTTTTACCAGTAATGTTTCTGCCACATCAAACCACTGTTCACTCGTTCTCCCCCTGACTGTCTGCTCCAGTAAACTGTAACCAATGACTAATCCGTGTTTGTTGGTTTAGAGATGTTTGTGTTTGCATAATGCAGGTCTTCTGACTTTCTGGAAACCACATGATTTCACATGTTGGCAACAAATACAAAGTGGGATGATTTATATTCCTGTGATTACTTTTCTGTCATTTCATGTATTTATGCAATGCAGCGATATATTATTGTATTACTTAGGATATCAGTGCTTAAATCCAGGTTATATCATCAGTTATAGCTACTCAGTCTTGACAAGTGGAACATAGTTATGAGTTACTGGGGGTGGACTAGCAGTTTCACTCATTTTTGGCTCATTTTGAATTTGCATAATAAAATGTTTTTGCCTGAAGTGTTTTACATAATTTGATTTTGCCAAAGGTTGCACAGGATAATAAACACAGACATGAACATAGTGGAAGGAAAACACAAGGTGAGTTTTTGCTAATTGGCAGAAAACAGTGTTGTCACATGTATGACATGATGTATAATTAAATTTCAAAGTTATGGAGTCAAAGTGACAAAAGTGAAGTGTTTTTATGGAAACATTAAATGAATTTGTGCTTTATTTTCTTCAGTTTTTTATTTATATTTTCGAGTGTATTGGCCTTATCGTGATCCCACATTGGAGGTTTACCAGTTTACCAGTAAGTATAATTGTTTTTCCCACTGTTGTCACAGCTTTCATTTTGTTCTTAATGTTTCAGAAGGCAACCTTTACTCCATCTTCTCTCGTGTAAATTCTAGCAATTTTAAAATAGGAAAAAATCAAATATTCTTCTGCATATAATATCTTATCAAATTCTACATTTAAAAAATTGTTAATACATTAATAAAAATAAACCTGTGTTGTCAACTACTCTTCATATAATTTCAATAAATAATATTTGATTTTTATTGATGAAGTCAATAAATCTCTTATTCACCACTATGAGTTAGCCTTTCTCTCATATATTCAGTACATGACAAGCAGAGGTGGAAAAAGTAGCAATACAACAATGTAAGAAATACTCCATACCAAGCGAATCCTGCATTCAAGATCCAGTTTAACAAAAACACATTTGCAAAATGTACTTAAAGTACCAAAAAAAACCCCTACTTATTATACAGTCCTATTATAGAGCCCTAAGCCTCCAATGTACAAGTCGAACATTTTCTTAAAGATATATAACAAGTGGTGCGAGGTATGGAAGAGTGCAAGTTACTTCAAATACATACAGGTTACTATCTGAAATTAACTTTTTTAACAAAGCATTGTATTTTGCAAACATATCATAGTTTATTTTAGGTAAAAATCTGAAAACTGACTATATGTGTTAGATAAATTTAAATAGTACAATATTAGTAGTACTTAGCCTACAGTAATTGATCATCATCTATCACGATCTACTGGATCATCATACTGTAGTGTTGGCCAGTTGGGTTAAATATGCTTATCATCATTAAACTATTGTTAACAGGTGAATTAGAGTTTAGGTGACTTTTTCCTCTTATGTAAGTTAGTGGATCGATCGAAAACTCGACCTTCGATTGAACGGGCTGACTCCGGGGGAGAGCTTTGGGCGTAATCAGTCGTGTGCAATCGAGAGCCGGGAGTTAAAAAAAAAAGAGAAAGGAAGAGGTCCGAAACTTTTTGAGAGCCTTTCTTTACATTCAAGAACAAAACAAACCGTAGTAGGAAAGCTTTCTATAGAATTGTCACAGAGTGTTCAAACATGTGACCCGTCTCTAAGCAACGTGGTGTCGAGTTTCGCCTCGCTGGAGAAAAGAGTTACTCAAGACAGTAAGTTTTCCTCCTGGTCATCTGATCGACTAGCGGAAATAGCACAAACAATGGCAGAGAGCAACAACAGAGCCAGCTACCCGCTTGTTCATTTTAGCCAACTTTGGTCCCAATCTGCTCAGTTGTGTCGGCCAAGTTCAGGCAGTTTTGCAGGTATTTTCCGACTTAATGGTATACTCGTTTTTTTTGTTGCTATTTTCAGAGTGGTTAACTGTACTACATGTGTGATAATGAGCTCAAAACTTAAACGTGCTTTAACCCATTTGAAGAGAAAGCAGCAACAAAAATTAAACGTCGATAAGCCAACTTTTTACTTTATACTCAATAATTCCACTTATTTTGTTTTGCAAGGCAGGAAACTGTAGCTGGCTGCAGTGTAGCAGAATAGTTCAAGTAGAAAATGAATAAATGATATCAGTCAATCAATAAATGATACCATGAGATGTTTCTCTTTTATAGCTTTGACTGCAGGCATTGTGAGCAACATTGATTTTTCCTCTTTGCCCACAGTGAGCATCAAGCCACAGGACCTCAGGGTGTAAGAGGCAATCACCATGGCAACGCAGTTTAGTATTGATGATGCCTTTGTGTTGGAGGGAGATGAGGAGGGAGCTGTGTCAGACGGAGAGACAGAGGGATGGAGGGGCAGAGACAAGGACAGAGAAGCAGGCGAGATGACATTTGGTCCTCTATCTTTCTCTAAACCTCAGACTCATCCCTCTCCCGCTGCGGCCAGCTCCCCTGAACACAGTAACCTGAAGTATCAGGTACACATGCACCTTCTGTGTGTACAAACATGAAGCTAAAAGTTGTTTACTTGAAAATGCAACTCTTTTATCATCTGCCATTTCTTTAGAATCTGGAAAATGAAGATGCTTTGGGCAACAATGGCAATTCCTCTTTCAATAACTTCTTCAAAATCAGGTAGGTCTTACGACTATAACTTTTGATGTGATATTGTTTTTTTTTCTTCCTTTGCCTTCATGTGGTTTAAGTGTGAGATAAAGTCTGTTTCTGCTCTCTCCACAGTGACCCAGCAACTCTGTCTTACTGCAGCTCCCAGTGGTCCTTCAGCACCTTGAGTTCTGTCACGCAGCTTTCTGCACACTGCTGCGGGTGAGTTCAAACAACTGATACACACACTCACACACTCTCAAACAGAATCAACAACAAACACAGTTACTTTAAGAAAAATGTGTTGCTCAGGTGGGTGTCCCATCCGCTGGTGAAGAAAAACAGAAGAGTTGTTCTGGCTTCATTCCTTCTCCTCATCACTGGAGTTGGTGAGTCTTTAGCACAAGTGTTTCTCACTCATCAAATATAAAATATCCAGCCAGAATATTCTGATGTGATTATATGACTTTTTCCTTCTTTCTTTCTTCTGCTGCTGTTTTTGTCATGTTTTCCTAGATTTTTTTTTTTCTTACTTGACGACAGTAATAATGTCTGGCTGTAATGGCTCTCACCCTTTAAAACTCCTTTGTATGAGCTGCTCAAAATGTAGATGGTTTAGTAATTGGATGAAACTCATAAAATTACAGTTAAACGGCTACAATCTAAAATGAATATTTGAAAAGCACAGAAACTCTTATATGATAAAAGGGCACTTTATATGAAGCTCTAGATGTGCTCCATTATTTTGACATAAACATACTGCTTCAGATAGTTTTCCAATTTATTACCAGGTAGTTTGTTCAGTGTTGTGTCAGTCAGTGACATGCCTGGCCCTTCACTCACTGAACTTTGTCCCCTTGTTTATCCTCTGTGTACAACTAATTCTTGCCAGAGTTAACAAAACTAATGAAAAAAAAGTGTGAAATACTTTATAGATATATACCCAGTGGGGTCCAAAAGTCTGAGACCATTCTCCCATTCATGGTCTACTGTATATACTGATGCTACTGTATTGTTTCTTTTTAGCTCTTATTTTCACAGGTGTTGTCATACAGCTGAATCCAAATGCAGGTAAGAAGGACAAATTTATTTGATTTCTGTGTACAGAAATGACACAATCGATCTGTTTGTCCAAATCCAAGAGAATTAGTCTAAAAAGTATTTAAAGAGAACACACTGTCGTGTGAGCTGACAGAGAAAAGTAGCAAAAGAAACATTTTACTGACAAATTGAAGTAGTTACCAAATCATCAATCAATCAAGAAATAAACATTCTTCAACAAAATACTGACTCTTAAAAGGAATAAATTGAGAAAAGAATTCTCTATTTAATTATACTAATTTACAAATGACATATAATGAATATGTCTTTGTCTTTCTGTGTATTTAAATGCTTGTAATTCAGAACTTTACAGTTTTAGAGTCTATGAATGTGGATTTTGCACACAAACATATTGTAGCTTGGCGGCTCTCTGAGTAATCTTGTCTTTATATTGTCCCTGTGCCACCATGACACTGGGTTGGTGGTGAAGAAGCACCCATTTTTAAAGGCCAAAGTTCTTTAGATGACATAGCGCACTGTTTCCCAACCCTGCACTCAAGGTCAATCTGTTCCATTTGTCTACTTTTACAACTGGTGTTAAGAAATAGAGCTGGAGAAACAAAAACATGTAGGACTGGTCAGCCTGTGGGTTGTAGATGAGGATCATGATTTTTGATTATTCAGAAGATGGCAAAAGTTGAAAATGAAATGACTTGTATGGTGTGTAATTGCACATGTTGTTGATGTTGCCAACACCCAACCTATACTGTACAAGTAGTATTACTTAATAACTGTAAGTGAACTCTTCGGACAACTAAATTGCAGTTTGCAACAATGCCTGGAATGAGTAATTGTATTTGTAGGATTAACTTCAATGTTTTGAAAGAAAGAAAGAAATTACTGTACAGTAATTACTGTAAGGATATTTTCCAAGTCACAGTATGGTTGACTTTGTTACCATTACACAGGGCTAGGCTAGTTGTTTCCCCCGTTTCCAGTCTTTATGCTAAGACAAGCAAATCTTCCGATGGCTGTAGCTTCACATTTACTGTACAGACTTGAGATTGGTATCGATCTCCTCATGTAACTCCGGGCAGGAAAGCAAAAAAATATATTTCCAAAAATGTTGAACTGTTCCTTTAATGTATTGTTGCACTGATTAGTATTTGCGAGTGTGTCTTTAACTAATGAAACTGTCATTACAGGGGTATCGAGTGCTATTTTCTTTGTTCCCGGATTTCTTCTCTTCATCCCTGGAGGTAAATTGATCATTTACTTCTTAGAACTTCTTTTGCATGCCTTTTGGCTGCACCAATAAACACATGCTTTGTTTTGACATTAACAGTTTAATTCCCTGTATGTCCTTCAGTGTACCATGTGATATACATCAGCTGTGCTGTCCGTGGAAGAAGAGGCTTCAAATTGTTCTACTTACCTTATTTTGAAAAATGACATTTTATGACACACTACATTTCTCTGTTTGTTATCTTAAAATGAATTGTATTTTGTCACTTGTAACAAAAATATATTGTCACATTTCACATTCTTTTTTCCTTGTCATTGTAATGACCACTACTAATTTAACCACTCAGTACCTTGAGTATGTTTCCACTACATGAACTGACATTGTTGTACGTGTACATGAAAAAGAAGGAGATTGGTCTCGCCTGTGTTTTCTATGTGTGAATAATGACTGTGAAATTACAATAAAACTTTTGTATATTTTATTTTTTTGAGTGAGTAGTTCAAGTGAGGAAAAATCTATCACAATTTATGTGTTAAAGAACTGAAAAGTTGCCTCCATGAACTGTACTAAAATCCTGTACTGCAGATCTTAGAGTGGATTGTCCTTATACAGTCACCTTTTTAACAGAAGTGCATTCACTTACTGTTGTTTTGGATGTAAACTTATATTTGAATTTAAGAAGCAAGAGGTATAACAAGTGTTTGTGTACTGGGCTTTCAATTGTTTTATGAGTTTGCCATGGCTACATAGTTTGGTAATTGGTTACCAGAAAAGAAAAAAAGTGGTTTTAGAAAACAGATTAAAATTAAACTGGTGCCACTTGTGCACCAGTTCCATGCACACCTTCCTGCTAATCAGAAACATATGGAGGTAGATTTCTTTCAATATTATTTGTGTGAACAGATGAACAGTCCATGTGTAAATGTGTAATCTGTAAATAAAAAACACCTTCTACAAGTATGAAAAATAATTTTGCTAATTCACAAAAATATCTTGCAAATGTAAAATGGATTTGCAGATACACAAACAAATTCCACAAATAAAAAAATGATCTGTGAATACATTCAATTAATTTACAAATAAATGAAAAGCATTTATGAATATTTTCATTTAACATTTACAACTTTCAAAAAGCATTTGTGGATCGCAGTTTTATGCTTGTCGATTTCAATTTTAAAGACACTGAGTTTTGAAACAAACTTTCCGCGAGTTTATATGTTATAAACTTATATCTTCATATATCCAGAGGATGTATATGTCATAACAATATGTCTTCTTATAAATGACACACGGTAACATCACTCTTGATATAAGGACAAATATGTTATATATATATGACAGTATACTGAGGCATAAATAGTTATAGTATAATAAGGCATAATAAATCATAGTATAATGAGGCATTAGGGTCAACAATTAAACTAATGTCCATGTCTCTGGACTGCAGGCCCAGAGTTTGAACCCAGAACCTTCTCAATGTGAGGCAACCATTGTAATACCGTGCCACCCCATGACAAACTCATAGTGTAGTAAGGCAAAAAAAACAAAACATCGTAGTATAGTAAGACATATGAATGTCGTGGTATAATAAGGCATGAAAAGCAATAGTATAGTAAGGCATTAAAAATAATAGTATAACAAGGCATAAAATAGTCATAAAAACGTCATGAGGCATAAAACATCGTAAATAGGTCATGGTATATTAAGACATAGAAATATAAGAACATAATATGGTGAGGCATAAAACGTCATGTAGACGTCATAGTACAGTAACGCATAAAACATATAAAAGCATGAAATGTCAAAAAACATCAAAGTATAGTAAGGCATAAAAATGCCAAAAAACGTCATTTTATAAGAAGGCATAAAACATCATTGTATATTAATTCATGAAATGTAATAAAAATGCCATAGTATAGTAAGTTAAATGTTTAAAATGTTAAAAAAAAAATAAAAAAACGTTATCGTATAGTAAGGCATAAAATGTCATTGTATATTAAGGCATAAAATATCATAAAATCGTATTAGTATACTAAGCTATTTAACGTCATAGTTTATTAAGGAATAAAAATGTCATACTATACTACGGCTTGAAAATATAAGTAAGAAATATAATGTCAAAAAAACATCATAGTATACTAAGGCATAAGAGGTCATAGTATATTAAGGCATGAAACGTCAAAAAACATCATAGTATATTGAGGCACACAACATCATAAAAACATCATAGTATATTGAGGCATAAAAGGTCATAAAAACATCACAGTATGGTAAGAAGTAAAACGACTTAGTATAGTAAGGCATAAAAATGTCAAAAAACATTATACTATATTAAAGCATAAAAGGTCATAAAAACGTCATAGTATGGTAAGGAATAAAACGACATAATATAGTAAGGCATAAAAATGCCAAAAAAACGTCATAGTATAATATGGCATAAAATGTCAAAAAACAACACTGTATAATAAGGCATAAAAATGTCAAAAAACGTCATAGTATATTAAGGCATAAAAGGTCATAAAAATGTCATAGTATGGCAAGGAATACAACGACATAGTGTAGAAAGGTATAAAAATTTCAAAAAACGCAATAGCACAGTATGGCACAAAATGTCAAAAACACATCATAGTATATTAAGGCATAAAAGTTCATAGAAATGTCATAGTATGGCAAGGAATACAACAACATAGTATATTAAGGCATAGAAATGTCAAAAAATGTCATAGTTTAGTATTGCAGAAAAATGCAAAAAAAAAGTCATAGTATAGTAAGGCATAAAACGTCAGAAAAACTTCATGGTATATTATGGCATAAAAGGTCATAAAAATGTCATAGTATGGCAAGGAATACAACGACATAGTGTAGAAAGGTATAAAAATTTCAAAAAATGCAATAGCACAGTATGGCACAAAATGTCAAAAAAGTCTTAAAAAGCTCATTGTATAGTAAGACATAGTATAGTAAGGCATAAAAATGCCAAGAAATGTCATACTATAGTATGGCAAAAAAAATGTTAAAAAACGTCATATTATAGTATGGCATAAAAACGTCAAAAAAACATCAGAGTATATTGTGGCATAAAAGGTCATGAAAACATCACAGTATGGAAAGGAATACAACGACATAGTGTAGAAAGGTATAAAAATGCCAAGAAATGTCATAGTATAGTATGGCATGAAATGTCAAAAAAACATCACAGTATATTAAGGCACAAAAAGTCTTAAAAACCTCATTGTATCGTAAGACATTAGACGACATAGTATAGTAAGGCATAAAAATGCCAGGAAATGTCATACTATAGTATGGCATAAAAATGTTAAAAAACATCATAGTATAGTATGGCATAAAACATAGAAAAAACATAGTATATTAAGGCATAAAAGGTCATAAAAATGTCATAGTATGGCAAGGAATACAACAACATAGTATGTTAAGGCATAGGAATGTCAAAAAATTTCATACTTTGGTATGGCATAAAAATGTTAAAAAACGTCATAGTATAGTATGGCATAAAATGTCAAAAAAACATCATAGTATATTATGGCATTAAAGGTTATAAAAATGTCATCGTATGCAAAGGAATACAATGACATAGTGTAGAAAGGTATAAAAATGCCAAGAAATGTCATAGTATAGTATGGCATAAAATGTCAAAAAAAACATCACAGTATATTAAGGAACAAAAAGTCTTAAAAACCTCATTGTATGGTAAGACATTAGACGACATAGTATAGTAAGGCATAAAAATGCCAAGAAATGTCATTTTATAGTATGGCATAAAAATGTTAAAAAACATTATAGTGTAGTATGGCATAAAACATCAAAAAAAAATCATAGTATATTAAGGCATAAAAGTTCATAAAAATGTCATAGTATGGCAAGGAATACAACAACATAGTATGTTAAGGCATAGAAATGTCAAAAAATTTCATAGTTTAGTATGGCATAAAAATGTTAAAAAAACGTCATAGTATAGTATGGCATAAAACGACAAAAAAACATCATGGTATATTATGGCATAAAAGGTCATAAAAACGTCGTAGTATGGCAAGGAATACAACAACATAGTGTAGAAAGGTATAAAAATTTCAAAAAACGCAATAGTATAGTATGGCACAAGATATCAAAAACACATTATAGTATATTAAGGTATAAAAGGTCCTAAAAACCTCATTGTATGCTAAGACATAAGATGACATAGTACAGAAAGGTATAAAAATGCCAAGAAAAGTCATACTATAGTATGGCATAAAAATGTCAAAAAACGTCATAGTATAGTATGGCATAAAACATAAAAAAAAAAAACATAGTATATTAAGGCATAAAAGGTCATAAAAATGTCATAGTATGACAAGGAATACAACAACATAGTATGTTAAGGCATAGAAATGTCAAAAAATTTCATAGTTTAGTATGGCAGAAAAATGCAAAAAAACGTCATAGTATAGTATGGCATAAAATGTCAAAAAAACATCATGGTATATTATGGCATAAAAGGTCATAAAAACTTCATAGTATGTCAAGGAATACAACAACATAGTATGTTAAGGCGTAAAATGTCAAAAAATTTCATAGTTTAGTATGGCAGAAAAATGCAAAAAAAACGTCATAGTATAGTATGGCATGAAATGTCAAAAAAAATCATGGTATATTATGGCATAAAAGGTCATAAAAACATCATAGTATGCCAAGAAAAACAACGACATAGTGTAGAAAGGTATAAAAATGCCAAGAAACATCATAGTATAGTATGGCACTAAATGTCAAAAAACATCACAGTATAGTATGGCATAAAAATGTTAAAAAATGTCACAGTATATTAAGGCATAAAAGATCATAAAAATGTCATTGTACAGCAAGGAATCCATACACATAGTATATTACGGTACAAAATGGCAAAAAACATCATAGTATAGTATGGCATAATAATGCAAAAAAAACGTCATAGTATATTAAGGCATAAAAGGTCATAAAAATGTCATAGTATGTCAAGGAATACAAAGACATAGTATGTTATAGCATAGAAATGTCAAAAAATGTCATAGTTTAGTATGGCAGAAAAATGCAAAAAAAACGTCATAGTATAGTATGGCATAAAACGTCAAAAAAACATCATGGTATATTATGGCATAAAAGGTCATAAAAACATCATAGTATGGCACGGAATACAACGACATAGTGTAGAAAGGTATAAAAATGTCAAAAAACGCAAAAGTATAGTATGGCACAAAATGTCAAAAACACATCATAGTATTTTAAGGTATAATAGGTCTTAAAAACCTCATAGTATGCTAAGACATAAGATAACATAGTATATTAAGGCATAAAAATGCCAAGAAATGTCATACTATAGTATGGCATAAAAATGTTAAAAAACGTCATAGTATAGTATGGCATAAAACGTCAAAAAAACATCATGGTATATTATGGCATAAAAGGTCATAAAAATGTCATAGTATGGCAAGGAATATAATGACATAG